TATAAACCTCAAAAATAACAATAAGTTCAAATATTTGTGCAGAGAAACAAAAATCTATTACAGAAATCTTTTTAAATTGATGAACTCTTTCTTTTACAAAATATTATAATATTATGAACAACCTGAAACTTTAAGAAAAATACAATTTCAACACAAAGTTTTAACATGAACTTGTTTGTAAACAGGAATAAGTCCATTTTTGTTGTAAAATCCTGCACTCGGCTCCACTTTTCTCATGTTGGACATTTTTCTGATGAGGGTGTCACGGTCAACAGTCAAAACGATCGTCCTTTAAGAGCGTTTGGAAAGAGACAAGTCTTCATTTGTGCTGCTGGTGGGAGGGGCCACGTACAGAGATGCTGGAGACGCTGATATGCTCAGCACCTCAGAAAATTAACAAGATTTTAATTAAAATATTTAAGTAGAAAATCAGCCAAGGGCCAGATTAAAGGTCTTGGAGGGCCGGATCTGGTCCCCGGGCCTTATGTTTGACACATGTGGCTTAAATGAAGAGTTATGGCGCAACAAAAGCTAAAAAAATAGAAGGAACTACATAGACCATGATCCTTTGCTCCATTTCAGTGTCAACAACAAGAAAAAATAACAGTTCTTAGCACTTTTAAGCCGTAGTTCTTTGGATTAAGTCTTGTCAAGGCATTTTAACAAGAAAAAGAAGCAGATTAACAGTTTTGTCCACAAAATATCACAATAAATATCGTACCGTGAGATGTACATCGAGAAAATATCGTAAGGAGAGATTTGGATATTGTTACATCCCTAATCCTGAGCTTTCCCACGATATCGCAATAAATATCGGACCGTGAGGTTTATACCGCGACGATATCGTTTCTTGAGACTTGGATATCGTTACGACCCGAAACAAAACACAACTCCAGGTCGGTTTGTGATGCAGAAACGACATTAGAACATGACGTAAAGGTCGTACAGAGGATTTTCCAAGGAAATCCGCAAAAAAAAAAAAGTTTTTGAGGTCGCTGAAAAAAGAAGAGGGGAAAAGGAGCGAAGAAAACTAAGGTGGTTCTTGGAAATTCCTTCCAGCGATGGCGCGACTGAAGCAGACGAAGGGTCTAAAGACTGACACGTCGGGCGATAAATTACTTCTGGACAAAAAACTTCAACGGCGATTACCCTAACCCTAATCCGAAACCAAAAAAAGTCCTTCATACAACCTTTAAAGCTCACAAGAGTCTATTTTGTGTAATATTTGACCTTTAAGACTAATAAAAGTGCAGTTATTTGAAAGTGTTACCAGTAGTTTGATCCCATTCCGTCCTCTACGATGTGCCTGCATGGTATCTACTTTTCTATATAAGCCTCGTGCCTTTTCGGATTCATTTGTGATATTTATCGGTATTGTTTTTGTAAGAAAATTATGGAAAACTTGCCTTAATTTTTTCTGTCTTGGATGGTGACTTTTTAGTGCCACTTTTTGTCCATGTTTGATCAAAAGTGTGAGATTTTTCAGTGTGAATGAATTGTATAAAATGTATTTGAAAGATGTAACACAAATAAATGGTTTTGTATTAAAGACGTGGGATGTGTGATTCTCAGGACTAAACCAGAACTAAACCAGGACCGAATCAGGTCTAAACTAGGACTAAACCAGGTCTAAATTAGGACTAAACCAGGACCAAATCAGGTCTAAACTAGAACTAAACCAGGTCTGAACTTGGACTAAACCAGGTCTAAAGTAGGACTAAACTAGAACTAAACTAGGACTAAACCAGGACCAAATCAAGTCTAAACTAGGACTAAACCAAGTCTAAACTAGGACTAAACCAGGACCAAATCGGGTCTAAACTAGGCCTAAATCAGGTCTAAACTAGGACTTAACCGGGACTAAATCAGGCCTAAACCAGGACCAAACCAGGTCTATCCTTGGACTAAAGCAGAACTAAACCAGGACTAAATCACCAGGATTAAATCGGGTCTAAACTAGGACTAAATCAGGAACAAATCAGGTTTAAACTAGAACTAAACCAGGTCTAAAGCAGGACTAAACCAGGACCAAATCAGGTCTAAACCAGGTCTAAACTAGGACTAAACCAGGTCTAAATCAGGCCTAAACCAGGCCTAAACAAGGTCTAATCTAGGACTAAATCAGGACTAAAGCAGAACTAAACCAGGACTAAATCACCAGGATTAAATCAGGTCTAAACGAGGACTAAACCAGGACTAAATCAGAACTAAACTAGGACTAAACCAATACCAAATCAGATCTAAGCCTGGACCACGTCACATCTAAACTAGGAGTAAACCATGACTAAAACAGATCTTAAACCAACTCTAAACCAGTTTTGAACCATAAAAGGACTAGACTAAGTACTACTCAAGTCAACATTTGGACTAAATTTGGAACTAAACCAGGACTAGTAAAGTACCAAACCAGGTTCATCATCAGGACTAAACTGCGCTCAAACCAGGGACAAGTAAATCTGAACTTTGAAATGAGAACTGGACAAATCTACAGACTCTGAGGACACAAGTCTCTATGTTTTTGAAATATTCAGATTTAATTTACTCTTTTTGAACCCTGAATTTCAGAGTCACCTCATTATTGCTGCCTCGTGCTGCAGACCGTCCCCTCCTCTGCTGGGCTTTTATTTATAGCATCACTCCCAAATATTAAACAGAAATATACGACTGTTGTGACGCACTGAAGGCTCCAACACGGCGGACGCTCTGAAAGATTTATGGAGACGCTCCGGCCCAGTGTCCTCGTGCTCGTGGAAAACAGAATACAGAATGATGCGCTTTGAAAAGGTAAAAAAACAAATGAATTATTTACTGAGAGTTCGAATTTTGGTACAAACTGTGACCTTATCCAGCTCTGTTCATTTATAGTATTCAAGGTTATTTTATAAAATTGGAATAGTTTTAGCCTAAAGATGCACTGTGTAACTTTTATTATTATTATTATTATTATTATTATTATTATTATTATTAAATCTATTTATTTATTATTATTTATGTTAATTATTTTTTATTTATTTATTTATTTTTTTTTTACAATAAAACAATACCTTGAAAAATATCTATTCTGTTGTAACCGGGCCCACCTCTCCACAGATTGGACCTGTAAATTGGCTTGGTTCTTGTCTCCATGGAAACAGAGAAGTGAAAAATTCATACATCTCCATGGTGACAGACCCTCCACCCAGAAAGTTACACAGTGCGTCTTTAATGGCAAATTAATTACAAAAATGAAATATGGAAATATTATAAACTAGAATCATGTACGAACATCAAATTAAGTTTATTTTATTTGATTAGACATTTTTTTTTTTCCATTACAACACATTTGAACAGGATATTGTGCATTAGAATTGTAAATATATCAAAGTAATATATCAAAGTAATTCATTATTTAAAAAAAAAAAAAACATTTTTACTTGTAAATATATGCTTTTTTGTCATTCATATAGATAATTACATGACATAAAAGAACGTTGGACCATGTAACTTTTCTGTTGATGCCACTAGGCCAAGTTACAGGTCAGATCGGTGGAGAGGCAAGCCTGATCACAATAAGAATACACGTTTTTACATGTATTTTTGAGCAATTAGGACACCTGTAACTGAATAAATGCAAAATGCCATGCAGAATATTTTCCAGGCATATCAATGACATTTCAGTGGAGACAAGCGTTTAGTGAACCCCCCACCTTAGAAAAATTACATCCAATCCACTTTATTTCTATAGCAAATTTCATAAACAAAACCGTTTTCAAAGTGCTGCACCATACAAACAAGACATATAAAAGTATAAAATAAAGCTCTATTTAACTAGTAATTAACTAACTAACTAACTAGTAAAATCAAATAAAAGCAAGAATAACAATAAATAATAAAAAGGTAAAAAATAAATAAATAAATGACGCCGAGGATTACGCACAGTGCACCGATAAAATATATTACTATTTATTTTATTATTCAATTATTTATTTACAAATTAATATCATAAATTGCTCACACACATATATTTTTGAACTTAAATAAATAAATAAATTAAAAAAAACATTTACGAATTTTAAAACTCTTGTGCGTAAAAAACGTGCTTGCATCGCTCTCCCAGAATCCCCCGCGGTCTCCACATTTGGGTTTTGAGCTGTTCGTGTCAAATCAAGGTGAGTGCGAAATTCAGCTTTAAAACAACAAATAAATATAATTCCACTTGACATTACGCTTTTTTTTAACGTGTCCCGTGCTTATGTTTACTGCTACTTTAATTGTGCATTTGCAGCGTCAAAATCGCGTTTAAATTGAGCTTATTTGAGAGAAGGTTGCTAATGCTAAATGCTAATGCTAGTGAGTTTTCCCATTGACAGATCGGGTTAGCATTAGCCGACATTGTTTTCTCTAAATAACGCGCTCGTTCTCTCAAATAATTTCACTTCACATTCCCGCGTGCTCGTTTCACACGCACAAACACACTCTGAAGCCGCACTTGTAATTATTTGTCATGATTTAAGTATGAAAAGCTTTAATTGTGCCGGTGCTAATGTTGCTAAGCTAAGGCTGCTCGGGTCCTCGGGTCCTCGGGTCACGTCAGGGCGAAAACACCAAAGACTAAAGATTAAAGACCAAAGACTAAAGATTCAGCTCAGTAAAGTGACTTCCGGCAAAAGTTTCACAGGTGAGTGGTGCTGTTTTGTCAGAGAGGGAAGGTTTGACACAAAATAAAGTAAAAAAAAAAAAGGTAAACTTGGTGATAAAGGTTATTATTATTCGACCTAAACGTTAGTTATGGTATTATATTGCACAAGTAAACGTCAGAATGTGTAAAAGTAACAGCACCGTAGGAACAATCCGCACAAGTTATTATTTTATAGATATTTAGCTCTGTTTATTCGTCCTTAGTACATTTTATTTTAGGAATTAGTAATCTAGAAGGTCATGAGTCTTTGTGCCAGTTCATAGATATAAATCCAGTGGTTATTTCACCGAGGAAGAGCGTCCTGTTAAAGGTTGCAATTAAAATTTCCTCCACAAACAGCAAAATATTCAGTTTTATTCTGCATAAAGAGCAGGGATGCACTGATCCGGCTTTTTCAGTTCTGATTTCATTATCACAGTGTCTGTCAGTGCCAAGAGACTGAAAACAGCATTTATGTCTATCGATCCATCCATCCATTTTCTTCTGCTTATCCGGGGTCGGGTTGCGGGGGCAACAGTTTAAACAGGGACTCCCAGACTTCCTCCAGTTCCTCCAGGGGGACCCAAAGGTGTTCCCAGGCCAGCCCAGAGACATAGTCCCTCCAGCGTGTCCTGAGTTTTCCTCTGGGCCTCCTGCCAGTGGGACATGTCCAGAACACCTCCCAAGGGAGACGGCCAAGAGACATCCGGAACAGATGCCCTCCCCTCAGCTGCTCCTCTCGCGTGGAGGAGCAGCGATTCTACTCCGAGCTCTTCACCCTGTCTCTAAGAGAGGCCCAACCACCCCACGCAGGAAACTCATTTCGCCCACTTGTATCCTCGATCTCATGCTTTCGGTCATGTGAGGGCAGGAACGAAAATTGATGGTAAATTGTCGGTAAATCTAGAGCTTTGCCTCAGCTCCCTCTTCACCACAACAGTCCGATACAGCGACCGCATCACTGCCGACGCTGCACCGTTCCGCCTGTCAATCTCACGCTCCATCCTCCCCTCACTCGAGAACAAGACCCTGAGATACTTGAACTCCATTTATTTCCTTAAAATAAAATAAATATATGTTATGCAGCCATTATCTCTCAACTAATTACAGTTTTGTGTAAATACAAATTCAAACTTTATCAGACTTTCTGGGCTTACTACAGTAAAAAATCAATTTCCGTCAATTTAGAAACCCAACCAGGATATCACCTGATCCGATAAGTGGAAGCTGATATCTGATCCTGCCCGCTTTTCTATCAGCGCCAATATCTGATACCAGTGCAGGATCAGTGCATCCCAAATTTTAAAAAAAAAAGCTGCTCACCCTGTAGTTTAGATCTGTACAAACATGTTCTGTGATTCTTGAATTAGAATCTTGAAACAGAATCCTATTTAAAAACATAAGTCACAAAATTATATGCTGTTTTTCTTTTCTTTTCCGTTAAATGTACATGTTTGAATGTCTTTCCAAGTATGGAGACTATGTTGTGCTTTCTTAAATTCCAAAATGTTAAAAATAAAGTAACTCTAAAATCATTATGCTCATCAGAAAAATCACAATTAGATCTTTTTTCCAAATCGTTCAACCTTAGTTTAAGTTTATCACTCTACCGCTGCACATTTATACCATGTAAATAATTCTTTTTTCTTCTTCTCTCTCGTCCTCAGATGTCACTGCACCGTCTCTTCCACCTCTCCTCTCTCCTGCGCTCGGCCGTGAGCCTCACCCTGCGCAGGAACATCGGCCTCTCCGCTGTCGTCTTCAACAAGGCCAAAGACATGGACCCGGTGCAGAAACTCTTCCTCGACAAGATCCGGGACTACACCAACAAGAGCAAGTCAGTCCCACACACAAAAAAAGCTGTTATAAATGCTCACTGTTAGGGTTAGGGTCATTTTTTTCTTGTAATTTTAGCAGTGGTCATAGTTGTACTACATTTTGTTTATATAACCTGTTTCTGATAGGAACATAAACTTATTTCCATCGAGATTTTTTAGCTTTGCCTGAAGGATTCCAACTCATCCATGTTGCCTTTATTGAATTCACCTCAATCTCCACGGAGCTGACCTGTAACTGGGCTTGTCTCCATGGAAATAGATGTGTTTAATGCCATACTGTGAGACTTTCCAGACAAAGCAATAACATTTCCATAAAGACAAGCAAGTGGCAGAACCTTCACTAGAAAGTTACATCTTTAGTTCATGTTTAAGTAAAAGTAGAGCCCAGAAATACTCAAATATAAGTGTCACATGAAAAAATCCACTTATAATAGAGTAAAAATAGAGTAATATGGGCCCTTTAAAGTCTCTGTACCTGATTTTTACTGTGTTAAAAATGTAAAAAAAACAAACAGAACTACAGAAACAGAAGAACAGTTTCGTTTTAAACAGTTTGCCGTGATCCAAAGTTCTTCCTCTCTTACATTTTGCATTCAGACTGTTCCAGGTTTTAGCAGTAGTAGTAGTATAATACTACTACTGCATCTTTATTTATAAAGCACTTTTAAAAACAAGCTTTCAAAGTGCTGTACAAGCAGCAAAGAACAATAAAAGTAGCATCCAGAAAGCAGTACAGAATCAGACAATGAAGCCCTGACTCTGGGCACCAGCAAGTGGCCGGTCTATTATATATTTATATTTATTCAGAATTTATTATTACCATTTATATATTTTTTCTTTCCTTGTGGATTAGTAAAGTTTGACTAAGTCTGTATTGAAAACGAGCTTGACTCTTTCTGGTATCGCGACAGCACTAGTCTCTAAAATGACACTTCCTCTCGTTCTCTCTGTTCAGGGCGGCTGGTGGTGTCGTCGAAGCTGGACCTGCTTTTCAGAAAAACATGACGGAGGAAGTGTCCAAACTGCAGCGGCTCTACGGAGGCGGAGATTTCAACAAGTTCCCTGATTTCAAATTCACAGGTGAGTTTTGAAATTAGTGTCATATTCCTAAACATATGTGTTTAAAGCATTTACCAACATGTGAAAATATAACGTAGAGCTTGTAATCATTCAATTTGAGTTTTAATTATTGTGTAGAAGTTGTGTTGAGTACTCAAAATTTTCTTTTTTTCAGATCCCAAGTTGGACGAAGTGCCCAAGTGAACTGTCCATGTTGTAAATTGATGATTCCTCGTAACAAATTTGTTGTATTTAATAAAAAGGTTTAAATGTTCCACCACATATATCGTGTTTTATTTGATAATTTACAATGGTCATTTGTCACGTTTAATGACTGAAAACTTGCAGTAATGGCACTTTTTATTTGTGTCGTCTAGAGCTGTCACAATAACCGCAAAAATGAAGCACTGTGGTGCATGTTGGGCCACCGCGGTCACCGGACGCGACCAACATGACCCGACCCAGGGTCCTGCATGGGTCCATTTTTAGAGACCCGCACCTGCCCGGACCTGTTAACATTCCACCCGTTACCGCCTGTGATAACGCAGGGCTAACGCAGGGCTAACGCAGGGCTAACGCAGGGCTAACGCAGGGCTAACGCAGGACTAACGCAGGACTAACGCAGGGCTAACGCAGGGCTAACGCAGGGCTAAGGGCTAAGGTGCGCCCGAGTAGACCATCTGGTGACTGCAGTTAAGTGCTGCCGTCACCCGACCGCGCTTTGTGGACACCTGCTCCGCGAGTTCTCTTAAGTCCGCGTGTACCCGACGTGGTGCGGGACTCTTGACCCGACGTGGTGCGGGACTCTTGACCCGACGTGGTGCGGGACTCTTGACCCGACGTGGTGCGGGACTCTTGACCCGATCTGCCACAGTGAGAGCTGGAGAGATGCAGCGGCACTTGTTCTAAAACCAAATGTTACTTCTCACACTACTCACACTACGCACACTACACACACACACTACACACACACACTACACACACACACTACACACTCTATATCCACACGACAACGAAGGTACATGTGCATCTGCAACAAGAGCATCATCAGAGTTTTCAGAGCCGCTGGAAATATTATAACTCCATCACATACTGCGTTGTTGAGCTGCTTTACCGCACTGCAGGAGAAACTCCCAAACCACAACAGCCCAAGTGTCGTCTCTACTGTAGAACGTGAATTAAGACTGTCCATTTCTTTTTTTGCAGCTGTCGACTTAATTAACCTCGGTCAAGTGCTGTAAAAATGACTTATCAAAGCTCCTGTGTCTCATTTCTCCCTCTTGTTTCAGTGTGGCCCAGCAGCCGGTGACCTGTTCTGTTCCGGGTCAAACGGTTTCCCAGTTTGTCCTTGGAGAGCCACCGTAGTTATCAGTCATTCTAACGGCTCAGTGCGTTTTATTTTTTATATTTGTGTCCCTGAGCAGAGGATGGGAGCGGGAGGCTAATGCTGATGTGAAGGTCAAGGGTCAAACAAGGGGAATAATGAGATACAATGGATTCTGGAAGGAGCTGTTTGTGTGCGGACGTGTTTTAGTGTTCACATTAACAAGCATTTGTATACAGACGTAGACATGAGAGTTAAATATATTTTTTAAAAAACAAAACAAAACACCGAGTTCTGATGTGTTTTCAAAGACAGTGTTTGAGCAGATGGAGGAGAGGCCGGTTTTCTGTAGAATAATGTTGTGTTTGTTACGTTTGGGCATTTTTTTCCCTGCATATTTTTTGTTCTCTATTTTTTTGTAGTATATATATATTTGTTTTGTATTGTTTTGTTTATACAGGTTTTCCTTTTTTTTTTTTTTTTTTCAAATTTCCAGTTTTTGTTTATACACGTTTTCAATTATTTTTCCAATTTCTTTCCCCAGTTTTGTTCGTACAAGTTTCCAATTTTATTTATACAGGTTTTACTTTTTTCCATTTTTGTTTTCCATTTTTGTTTTCTAGTTTTTTAATACAAGTTTTCCAGTTTTTTCCAGGTTTGTTTTATATAAAATTCCAATTTAATTTATACAAGTTATTTTTCCTCCTATTTTTCTTATTCCCCGTTAGTCCCTAGTTGGTTTACAATGTTTACCTTTTTTTATATATATATATATATTTGTACATATATTTTACCTATCGTTTTATATATATTTAGTAAATTACCTATATAAGAAATATCCAAAAGGAAACTCCACAGGGATACAGGAGAATGGGAGGGCATCTGACACAAAGGAATATACTTAAAATTAGTGAAATATTTAGACTAATCAAAGGAGATAAGAGAATTATGAAAAATATTTAACCAGAAACTAAACTTTAACCACTTTATGTAACTTTTCTGAGTGGGAGTATTCTTCCTGCTCGTTTCCATGGAGATGTTACTGCGTTGTCTGGAATATTCCGCAGTCTGGCATTAGATATCACATTCACTCAGTTGCAGGTGTGTTTAAGCAGAAAATAAAACCGTAAATGTCGATACTACAAATTGTGCGGTCACATTTTGAAATTGTTATACCACTACATTATTTTATATATTTATTCATTTCATTTTTGAAACAAATCAAACAAATATAAATGTATAAAAGTAATTAATATTGACAGAGACACTTGTTTGTTGTATGTACATTCAAAACTTTATTATGGAGGACAGTGTAAAAGCCCAGTCAATGCAAACGCTGCACGATATGAACACAGTGAAACTCACAGAAACTCAACACATCTGCAGTCAGAGCGCCCCCCGCTGGACCAACACTGTAAACACACCAACACCGCAACACCGCCACCAGCTCCAGTGTTCACTGTGGTCCTGTCACAGCAAGAGGAGAGGGTCTGGACCAGGTCTGAACTTGGACTAGCCCAGGATTAAATCAGATCTAAACCAGGATTTATTTTGGACCAAACTAGGTCTACTCCAGATGTTAACTTGGACTCAACCAGATCTAAACTAGGCCTAGCCCAGAAATAAACCAGGTCTAAACAAAGATTTATTTTTAATCAAACCAGATATAAACCAGGTCTTAACTTGGTCTAAGGTCTAACCAGGTTTGTTTTGGACCAAAGGGTCTAACCAGGGTTAACTTAGGAAGGAAGCTAAGGGTTGCTGTCTCCAGTGTCGTAGAGTGCAAGTAGTGGAACGGACCGGGGCCAGTTTTAAACAAGTCTGGATAATTTGTGTTTTGTTGGAATAAATTGTTGGTAAAATAGTGGTCAAAAAAGATCTAAACCAGGTCTAAACCAGGTCTAAACTAGGTCTTTGATAGGTCTATGTATGGACTCAACCAGGTCTAAACTGTGAGGAGCAATTCAAGATCTTGGTACTGAGCCAGGACTGAACCAGGTCCAAACCAGGTCTTAACCAGGTCTAAACTGTGGATGGAATTTCAAAGTCTAAACCTGGTCTGACCCTGTACGATACCAGATGTTAACCAGGACTAAACCAGGTCTTAACCAGGTCTAAAATAGGACTAAATCAGGTCTAACCTTGGTCTAAACTGGGCAGCTCTAAACCAGGCTTAAGTTAGTAGTAAACCAGGTCTAACCTTGGTCTAAACCAAGGTCTAACCTTGGTCTAAACCAGGTCTAAACCTTGGTCTAAACCAGGTCTAAACTAGGACTAAACCAGGTCTTAACCAGGTCTAAACTGTGGATGGAAATTCAAAGTCTAAACCTGGTCTGACCCCGGACGCTACCAGATATAAACAAAGACTAAACCAAGATTTAGTTAGGACTAAACAAGGTCCAAAATTGGTCTATAATAGGACTAAATCAAGTCTAACCTTGGACTAAACTGGGCAGCTCTAAACCAGGTCTAACCTTGGTCTAAACCAGGTCTAACTTTGGTCTAAACCAGGTCTAAACCAAGATCAGAACCATTTTCTCAACAATAAATTTACAATACATTTATCGTCCAATCAGAGGTATTTATCCAAATAAGAGGCGGGCTTTATTCTCCTTTCTGCCCTCTGATTGGCTGTACATTCCGAGCACTTCCTTGTTTACGTTTTAATCCCAACTCCGCGACACGTTTGATAAACTGGCCCCGGTTTAACGAGCGCCAAAGTCCAAACTACATTTCAGATTTTAGTTTTGACAATCATCGAACACAAAAGTCTATCTCTGAACTGTGTTTGGAGCGAGCGCGTTTTTCAGCAGGCCGTAGACAACCCCGAACAGCTCTCTGTAAATTATAAAGTGAATAAAAGTTGGTGCAAAATCCAGGCAAAATTAAATACAAAAATAACAGTGGAAAAATATCTAGCGAGAGATGCTATAAGCTACATCGCCTACACAGGGTTCCCACCATTTTACATTTTCTATGATTTTATTGGCAATTTTAGGTTGATTTATTTTAATTTGAAAATATTTTTAAATTTGAAGGTGATTTTTCTGAATTTTAATACAATTTCAAGTCTAAATTTTGGTATGGCACTGGTATTTTAAAATTAAAATTACAAATTGTAATCGTAATAATACAGTCTTGACTTCCACAGTGTCGAGAGGCATAAAACTAGAATAAACCAGGTCTAAACCGAGACTCAACCAAGTCTTAATCAGGTCTAGACCAGGATTAAACCAGGTCTGAACTAGATCTTAAACCCAGACTCAACCAGACCTAATGCAGGTTTAAACCAAGATTCAACCAGGTCTAAACCAGGTCTAAACTAGGTCAAAACCAGGTCTAAATCTGGTCTAAACCAGGTCTGAACCAGGTGTAAACCAGGACTAAACTAGATCTAAAACCAGACTCAACCAGGTCTAAACTAGGTCCAAACCAGGTCCAAACCAGGTCCAAACCAGGTCCAAACCAGGTCTAAAACTAGGTCTAAATCAGGTCTAAATCAGGTCTAAACCAGGTCTAAACCAAGTTTAAACTAGGTCCAAACTAGGTCTAAATTAGGACTAAACTAGGTCTAAACCAGGTCTAAACCAGGTCTAAAACTCGGTCTAAAACCAGATCTAAACCAGGTCTAGGTCTAAACCAGGTCTAATCTAGGTCCAAACCTGGATTTATCCGGACTGTTTAATCACTGAAAACATATTTGAAGTGGGACCCATTTTTCAGGAGAATTTGGGGCCGGGGGGAGGAAGAGGAGGAGATGATTTTAAACATGTCTCGTGTGCTTGTTGTAGATTTTTCTGATTTTCGTTTCTTCAGTTTTGCATTTGCTCAAAGAACTTGTAGGTGGGGTTCTCGTAGCCGTTCTGCTGCATCTTCGACAGGTGGCGCTCTTCTGGGGTCACGGCAGCGTCCACCTGAAACACAACAGGACACATTTAACGTAAACAGGAAGTTCATTTGTATTTTATTTTGAAAGTGCCCAATTTTTGCACATAACAGGAAGCAGAAACTAAGAATAATCTGTTATCGAAATGAATTTTAATTGATTCAACTGGGACCAAAACGAGGATCAAACCAGGTCTAGACCACATCAGGACTAAACTAGGGCTAAAGCAGCTCTAAAGTGGACTAAACCTGGTCTATAACAGGTTTAAATTCATCATAAACAGGGACTAACCGAGATCTAAACCAGGATTTAACAATTACAAGAGCCTGGGCTTGAAATAATCAGGTCTAAACCAGGTCTAAAGCAGGACTAAAGCAGGACTAAATCAGGTCTAAAGCAGGACTAAATCAGGTCTAAACCAGGTCTAAACCAGGTCTAAACTAGGTTGAATCCAAGTCTAAACTAGATCCAAACCAGATCTAAACCAGGCCTAAACTAGGTCTAAGCCAGGTCTAAATCAGTTCTAAACTAGATCCAAACCAGGTCTAAACCAGGACTAAAGCAGGACTAAAGCAGGACTAAACCTACCAGGTCTATAAAAGACTAAACCAGGATTAAAAAAACAGGATTAATCCAGGGCTAAACTAGATCAGGACTAATCCAGGTCTAAACCCAGTCTAAACCATGTCTAAACTCTGTCTAAACTAGGATTAATCTTGGTCTAATTCAGGTCTAAACCAGGTCTAAAATGCAATTACACAAATAAGGACTAAACTAGGACTAAATCTGGGTTTATAAAGGATTACTAACTAAACTAAAACCAGTCTAAATTTGGTCTAAGCCCAATCTAAACCCCGGTCTAAACCCAGGTCTAAACCCCGGTCTAAAACCCGGTCTAAACCCCCGGTCTAAACCCAGGTCTAACCCCGGTCTAACCCCGGTCTAACCCCGGTCTAACCCCAGGTCTAAACCCAGGTCTAAACCCAGGTCTAACCCCGGTCTAAACCCCGGTCTAACCCCGGTCTAACCCCGGTCTAACCCCGGTCTAACCCCGGTCTAACTCCGGTCTAAACCCCGGTCTAACCCCGGTCTAACCCCGGTCTAACCCCGGTCTAACTCCGGTCTAACCCCGGTCTAACCCCGGTCTAACTCCGGTCTAACCCGGTCTAACTCCGGTCTAACCCCGGTCTAAACCCGGTCTAACTCCGGTCTAACTCCGGTCTAACTCCGGTCTAACCCCGGTCTAAACCCCGGTCTAACCCCGGTCTAACCCCGGTCTAACCCCGGTCTAACCCCGGTCTAACTCCGGTCTAACTCCGGTCTAACTCCGGTCTAACTCTAAACCCCGGGTCTAACCCCGGTCTAACTCCGGTCTAACTCCGGTCTAACCCCGGTCTAAACCCCGGTCTAACCCCGGTCTAACCCGGTCTAACCCGGTCTAAACCCGGTCTAACCCCGGTCTAACCCAGTCTAACCCCGGTCTAAACCCCGGTCTAACCCCGGTCTAACTCCGGTCTAACTCCGGTCTAACCCCGGTCTAACTCCGGTCTAACCCCGGTCTAACTCCGGTCTAACCCCGGTCTAACTCCGGTCTAACTCCGGTCTAACCCCGGTCTAACCCCGGTCTAACCCCGGTCTAACCCCGGTCTAACCCCCGGTCTAACCCCGGTCTAACCCGGTCTAACCCCGGTCTAACCCCGGTCTAAACCCCGGTCTAACCCCGGTCTAACCCCGGTCTAACTCCGGTCTAACTCCGGTCTAACCCCGGTCTAACCCGGTCTAACCCGGTCTAACCGGTCTAACCCCGGTCTAACCGGTCCGGTCTCGGTCTAACCCGGTCTAACCCGGTCTAACTCCGGTCTAACTCCCCGGTCTAACCCCGGTCTAACTCCGGTCTAACCCCGGTCTAACTCCGGTCTAACCCCGGTCTAACTCCGTCTAACTAAAAACCCGGTCTAACCCCGGTCTAACTCCGGTCTAACTCCGGTCTAACCCCGGTCTAACCCGGTCTAACAACCCCGGTCTAACCCCGGTCTAACGGTCTAACCCCGGTCTAACCCCGGTCTAAACCCCGGTCTAAACCCCGTCTAACCCCGTCTAACTCCGGTCTAACCCGGTCTAACTCCGGTCTAACCCGGTCTAACCCGTCTAACCCCTAACCCGGTCTAACCCCGGTCTAACCCCGGTCTAATCCAGGTCTAACCCCGGTCTAATCCAGGTCTAACCCCGGTCTAATCCAGGTCTAACCCCGGTCTAACCCCGGTCTAATCCAGGTCTAAACCCCGGTCTAATCCAGGTCTAACCCCGGTCTAACCCCGGTCTAACCCCGGTCTAACCCCGGTCTAACCCCGGTCTAACTCCAGGTCTAACCCCGGTCTAATCCAGGTCTAACCCCGGTCTCACCTCGATGACTCCGTGGTGTATGGACGTGTACTGTTTCTTCCTCAGCATCACCAGAGTGATGACGATGACGGTGGCGATGACGACGCCTCCGACCATCAGACCGATTATTGCGCCTTTGTTTGGGCCGACGTCTTCAGCGAAAAACACCTGAAACAAACGACAAGAGAGAAAAGTCAGAAAAACAAACGACAAGAGACAAAAGTCAGAAAAACAAACGACAAGAGAGAAAAGTCAGAAAAACAAACGACAAGAGACAAAAGTCAGAAAAACAAACGACAAGAGAAAAGTCAAAAAACAAACGAAGAGAGAAAAGTCGGAAAAACAAACGACAAGAGAGAAAAGTCAGAAAAACAAACGACAAGAGAGAAAAGTCAGAAAAACAAACGACAAGAGACAGAAAAACAAACGAGAGACAAACGGAAAAACAAACGACAAGAGAGAAAAGTCAGAAAAACAAACGACGAGAGACAAAAGTCAGAAAAACAAACGACAAGAGACAAAAGTCAGAAAAACAAACGACGAGAGACAAAAGTCAGAAAAACAAACGACGAGAGACAAAGTCAGAAAAACAAACGACAAGAGAGAAAAGTCGGAAAAAAAAAACGACAAGAGAGAAAAGTCAGAAAAACAAACGACAAGAGAGAAAAGTCAAAAAAAAACGACAAGAGACAAAAGTCGGAAAAACAAACGACAAGAGAGAAAAGTCAGAAAAACAAACGACAGAGACAAAAGTCGGAAAAACAAACGACAAGAGAGAAAAGTCAGAAAAACAAACGACGAGATACAAAAGTCGACAAACGACAAGAGACAAAAGTCAGAAAAACAAACGACGAGAGACAAAAGTCAGAAAAACAAACGACGAGAGACAAAAGTCAGAAAAACAAACGACAAGAGAGAAAAGTCAGAAAAACAAACGACAAGAGACAAAAGTCAGAAAAACAAACGACAAGAGACAAAAGTCAGAAAAACAAACGACAAGAGACAAAAGTCCAGATCTTGATGAGATAAAAGTTAAACACAGTTGAACCACACAATGTACAGTGACTAAATAAGTAAATAAACCAGGACTGAACCAGGACTAATATAGAACTAAACCAGGACTAAAACAGGCTTAAACCAGGTCTCAATGAAAAGTAAACCAGCACTAAAACAGGACTAAGACAGAACTAAATCAGGTCTAAACCAGGACTAAACTAGCACTAAACTAGGACTAAACTAGAACTAAGACAGGACTTAATCAGGACTAAATCAGGTCTAAACCAGGATGAAACCAGGTCTAAACCAGGTTTAAGACAGGCCTAAATAAGGTCTAAACCAGGACTAAAACAGGATTATAACACAGGACTAAATCTGGTCTTAACCAAGTCTTCAGACAGGACCAAATCAGGTCTAAACCAGGACTAAACAGACTAAGACAGGACTAAATCATATCTAAACCAGGACTAAACCAGGACATCAAAACCAGGTCTGAGACGGGACTAAATCAGGTCTAAACCAGGTCTATACCAGGTCTAAACCAGGACTAAAACAGGATTATAACACAGGACTAAATCAGGTCTAAACCAGGACTAAGACAGGACTAAATCATATCTAAACCAGGACTAAACCAGATCTGAGGCAGGACTAAATCAGGTCTAAACTAGGACTAAACCAGGACATCAAAACCAGGTCTAAACCAGGTCTGAGGCAGGACTAAATCAGGTCTAAACTAGGACTAATCCAGGACATCAAAACCAGGACTAAACCAGATCTGAGGCAGGACTAAATCAGGTCTAAACTAGGACTAAACCAGGACATCAAAACCAGAACTACACCAGGTCTGAACCAGAACTTGCTGAAATACTTTATGCAACGTCCATTACATTTTTAGGTTAAAAGTATCTAAAAAAACACGATTTCTTCTCATCATTTGGAGCAGATTTGGCGCTAACAGCAGGATTAACATAAACGTATAAAAAGGACGAGTGAAGTGGCACTAAACCAGGATAATCTCGCTTCAAAGAAACATTAAATTAATCTGAAATTCGCAGTGAAAAGACTCGATGTGTAATAAATTTGGGATTAGAGGATCTCAGACTGTGAGAGCCGAGGATAGAGGCTGGATTAAGAATTATCACCATGTAAAACACGTTTCACCACACCTGAGTCAAAAAGAACGACTTCATCTGGAGAAAATATACAGAAACGAAGAAGCAGTAGTAGTAGTAGTAGTAGTAGTAGTAGTAGTAGTAGTAGTAATAGTAGTAGTAGTAGTAGTAGTAGTAGTAGTAGTAGTAGTAGTAGTAGTAGTAGTAGTAGTAGTAGTAGTAGTAGTAGTAGTAGTAGTAGTAGTA